CATATATCTATATATCTATATATGTTCTCTGAATGGGGGTATTATTAGGTACCGTTGAGTGGATTCTGACTCATAGTGACAATATCACAACAGAAGGAAACACTGTCTAGTCCTGCGAGGGAAGATTACATATCCTTTATGTAAATTATTATTAAATACATTGTGAAGCAAAACTTCCTAAAAATTCACTTTTCCCCATTTTTCTCACTGAAGGCCCCAAACTTGTCATGTGGAAAAACCATTTTAAAGTCATTTATGTGGAACAACACTTATTTTCATTTTTCAGGAAATCCTGTATGACACAAATATATGTGCTGTAGAAAAAAAAATCTTAAAAATATGTACCCCAAAATGTTCAGCACATTAACCTTAAACTAGGGTTACAGATAACTTTTATTTTCTGATTACAAAAAAATAAGATGCATTTTATTTTTTTGTAATCAGAAAAATATCAAAGCTATTTCTAATTAGAGAAAAGCTATTAACTTTCCTTTTCTTTTTATAAAATGCATCATGGAAAAAAAAAAATGCGTCATGGAACACCCTTCCCAGAACAGATGCAGAACTTGTTTCTGGTTCATGCATATGAAGCAAAATATTAGGATTCTTTAGCAAATCAACTAGCAGTTTAAATTTTCCCCATCTGAAAGCACACAATCTCAAATCTGCAAATAATACAATATAAAATATTATACTGAGAGTGTGAGTTATTTTATTGAGAATAGAATTAGGAATTTAAAGGATCTAGGCTATGTTAGAATGAGAATACATTTAATTTCAACTTCAAAGCAAATAATTTTAAAAACAATCTCTCTTACACAGTTGAAATAAAAGTAGTCTAAACTGTGTGATAAAGCTAGAAAACAGCTGTCCTTTGCTTTGTTTTGCAGCATTATCACCTGCAAGACTTCCTGGAATTGGCTGTGTGTACCAGCTCCAAATCCTGTCCTAAAATGAACTTTTAATCAAAGGAACACAGAACCATTTGCATCACTATGACAAGCACAGATGAATAGGGACAAGAAGACAATATACAGTTTACAGCCATGGGTTAGGCATATTGCCAGAAGGTTTATTATGGAAAAAAGAGTTTTTTCTAGGCATATACTTCAATCACTTTAACAGCAGTGATAATTTACTTCAATCAGGCACCAAATATCTTCTGAGAGCTATCTAAGTGAAAGAGTCCTGGTGTGGCGCTGTGGGTTAATGAACTGGACTGCAAAGTCTGTTTGAACTGCAAGGTTGGTGATTCAAGTTCACCAGTTGCTCTTTGGAAACCCTACACAGGGTGGCTATGGGTTGGAATTGACATGATGGTACTTAAGAACCACAACAATTAATCTATGTGAAGGACACTGGGTTAAGCACTAGGATTGAACTGTGAGGCCAGCAGGTATGGTGGCTGGCCTGAGGGAAGTTACATTCTAGTGGAGACCCCACAGGAGTTAACGAGTAATTAATGAAAATAGTGAGACAAAAGTTAGGATAGAAAAGTGTGACATGCTAGAGGAACACCAATAAGGTACCTGACATAAACTTGAGGCCCCGAGAAGACTGTGCCATGAACTAACAATTAGCCTGAAATCTGCATGAGAGGAGTCAACCAAGCAAAAAGAAAAGGGGAGAATGTTCCAGAAAGGAGGAAGAGCATATAAGAACAATGAAAACAACAAATTAAAAAAATCTGCATGAAATTTGATAAGACTAGGGTTGTTTTTGTTAAGTGTGGGTGTGACGGTTCTAACTCACAGCCACCCTGTATTGGGTTTCTGAGGAGCAGCTGGTGGGTTTGAACTTCTGACCCTGTGGTTTGCAGTCCAATCCAAGACTAGGGTAGTGTGTAAGAAGATCCCTGGGTGGTATAATTTGCACTCAGTTGTTAAACCAACCCAGTGCCATCGTGGCAGAAAGGCCTAGGGATCTGCCTCCAAAAAGTCTTAACACTGAAAGCTCTGTGGATAACTGTTCTAGTCTGCAGCACGTACAGTTGCCATGAGTTGGATTCCATGGGGATTACAGCCACTGAAGAAAACCCAATGGAGCATAGTTCTACTCTGACACACACAGGATTACCATGAGTCAGAATCAACTCAATGGGAAAAGAGGAGCACTAATGCTTAGATTAGGCATGTCCTTGTTGTGTGCCATCAAGTCAGTGCCGACTCATATGACAGGGTTTCTAAGAGCTGCTAGTGGGTTTGAAATGCTGACCTTGCATTACCAATCCAGTGATTATGCTACAGTGCCACACCAGGGCTCAGATTAGGTATAGGGTGATCATATAATTATTGTCCAAACTAAGAAATTTTTGAGAGTAAAGAGGGGATTTTTTTTTTTTTTTAAATCACTGGGACAAAAATGACAAACCAAGACATCAAATCAGGATGTGTAGTCATCATAATGATTCAGAATATTGGAGAACTTTAAACAGGTTAGACACATATGATCATGATCAGATTCTTACGTTTTATAGAAGTCATTTTGCACCAATGTAGAAAATGCTTATAAGCATCTATCTTTATCTTTAATCTTTTAACAATAATTTAAAATCGCTAGTG